TAATCTAAATAAAATAATTAAAAGAAAAGATAAAATATATAATTTAAATAAAATTAAAGTAAATTTTTAATATTATTATTATTATTATTATTTTTTATTTAAAATATATTTAGTTAGTAATTATGATATTTATTTAATTAAATCAAAATTAAACTATTTTACTAATTTAACTAATAAAATAATAATTAATTTATATACTTATAAAGTTTTATCTCAGAGTAATATAATATTTAATAATTTTTTAATAAAAAATATATTTATAATTTCAATTTTAATAAATTTAAATATATTTTTTATAAAATTAAAGTTTAAATTATGATATAATAAGATATTTGTTTTATTTAAATTGATAAAAAAATTAAATAAAAATTAATATTATAAGTATATTTTTTATTAAAAAGTTATTAAATATTATATTATTTTAAAATAAAACTTTATAATTATATAATTTAAATGTTAATTATTGATTATTAATATAATAATTAAATTTTAATTAAATAAATATCATAGTTATTAACAAAATATATTTTAAATAATAATAATATTATTATTATTAATAATAAAGTTTAAAATTAATTAAATTTTTTAATATATTTATTAAAATTATTTTTAATTATTAAATTTAATAAATTTATATTAAATTTAATTTATTATTTTTAATTTTTTATATAATTTTTATTATATATATTTTTATTTTTATTATTTTAATAAAAAATTATTTAAAAGATTATTATATATATTATAAATTTTTAAAATTATTAAATTAAAATTATTTTTTTTATTTATATTATTTTAAATTTTATTACTATTAAATTATTAAAGAAATTTTAATTTTTTATATAAATTTTTATTATATATTTTATTATTTTTCTTTTTCAATAACAGAAATACTATTAATAAGACTATTAAATATATTATAAATTTTAAAATTATTAAGTTAAAATTTATTATTTTAATTATTTTTTTAAATTATATTATTATTAAATTGTTGAATAAATTTTTTTTAAAAATAAAATTTTAATATCAATAATTTTAATATTAATAAAATATAAAAGAAAATATTTAAATTTTAATAAAAAATAATCAAAATAATATTAATAAATTTGATAAATTTTTATTTTATATTTTTCTTACTTCTAATATAACTACTTGAGAATAAGTATTTTTTTAATCAGAAAATAATATTATAATATAACTACTAATAATATAAATTAAAATTAATTTATTTTAATTATTAATTAATTTTTTTTATATTTTAATCATTAATATTATTTGTTTATAGTCTAATATAATTTCTTACAAATTGATACTATTTTAAATAAATATAATATTAATATTTTATTATCAACTGCTTGTTCATTTTATATTTTAATTCTTAGTTTAGTATTCTTTTACAGCTATTTAGTCAAATAGATAAGTTGAAGATATTATTTTATTATTTTCTTGATTTTAAATAAAGGTATAATATATTGTTTAACTTCTTCTTTTCAAAAAAATTGAAGGATTGAGAAAATATATCTTATATTTATATTCATACTGATATTGATATCTATATCTATATCTGTATTTGAATGAGTTTTTAAATAATTATAACTTTACTACCAAAAAAGATGTTATGGCAAGCGAACGGCAATCTTCTGAAGGTGGAACCTCTGCCAGCGATTTCTCTCACTCTCAACCCGCACTTCCTGAGCAAGAGGGCCGCCTTTTTTCGACACCCTTTTTGTGCCGGGGACTCAAAATGGATCTTTTCTCCCCTGCCATAGGGGACGGAGATGACCTTCCTTACTTCTGATCGCGCTCCACATGTCTCTACGAGTAGCTGCAGGCAGCTCGTCGTCGTCTTCAGTCAGAGGTTATTTTACGATAGAGGTCCGTAGCTTTCTATCATACTTCCTCCCTTCTCTTGCTTCCCTCCATCTTCTCCTGACGACGTCCTGAACCTTCCGTCGTGGACGGAAAGGCTCCCTGTGGCCTGAATGCCCAAAATGGCTGTGTTCGGCGAGGATGAGGGTGATGAAAGTGATGAGGAGTTTTGGAAAGAAGATAAGCTTCCTCCTCCCGAACACTATGAGGCCGAGGAGGCCAACCTTGACATCAAGCACCTCCGGCGGCGCCGTTTGAAGCAACAGACCATCGACGGGATAGATAGAGCCCGCGACCACTGGCACCAGTGAGTGTGATCCCCAGGTATACTGCAGGCAAGCGCTGACCGGGAGGGACTCAGATACTGTAAATACATGAAGAGAGACGTGTTCGACGCCTATCGGGCACTCTCAATCCAATCCCTTAAAGGGTTCCTCAGTTGGGCCTGTGATCAGCGTCGTGGCAAGGGCGGAAGAAGGCGTCCGGGGATTCAAGAGGTTAGCTCCTTGATAACATTCTGGAAGCAGTATTCGTAGGCCTACAAGCAAGACACCGGCATCGGCATCGACCCCCTGATCATGGCACAATCACAGGATGTGAGTACTACATCCGATCTATCTCCCACCCCCTTTTTGAGTATCTCCGTCGGTCTAAACCGTCGCGGCAGGTGATCGAGCTCATCGCCGACGAGAAAAAGCTCAGCCGTAACCCGAGGCCACCAGGGACCATGTACGTTGACGACCTTGCAGAGTACAACTGCGTGCTTCTGACGACGAATGAGATGGAGTTTCAGGTCGGCTGGGCGCGCATCCAGCTGATCCTCTACACCCAGCTCGCGGGCGTTACGCGGACAACCGGCCAGATGCCTTGACCCAGCTTCGCTATCGTGACCTCGTGCTCACACTAGTCCGAGACCCCCCATTCCAGCACACCACGACTGTGTGTGGGCCTGACCGCCCACTTCACTAAGACACACATGGGCATGAAGGATGCGTAAGTTTTCACCCATGCTCCATGGCCGCCTTGTTCCTTCACGAGCCGACTAACTCTCCGTTCAGTAACACATTTTGGCTTCCGGAGATCATCTACGACCTCACCCTGGTACTCAGTCCACATGCCTTTCTTCTGGGGATGCTGTTCCACATCCAGGCGTTCAAGTCGTCGAGCATCAAAACCGCGGAGCAGCTGTACAGCCTGGGCATTCTGGACAGGCTCAATCAGCAGGAACTGCCCCTGCGGGATGATTTGCTGGACAAGTTCGTCTTCTGAATGGTGGTCCGCGAGGGAGATGGCGTCCGGATCGCCCATGAGAGACGGCTGACCACATCGTCGTTGCGAAATCGGATGAGAAAGGGGGGTGAGATCACGGGCTTTGATCAGGTCACAAAGCCGTATATCCTCCGTGACGGAGCCGCGAAGGCTTACAACGAGAGCCGTGAGTATCCATCTATCCTCCCGTTCTTCTGGTCGCTCCCCTCCCTATCCCACTTACCAATTCTGGAGTAGTGGTGTGTTAATGTTGACGTTGTCGGACAGCGGATATAAGTGATTCCCTTCCAAACCTGATGCTCCAGCACGCCAGCATCGATACATTCGTCAAACACTATCTGGATCGAAACATCACCACCGATGTTCTCAGCATCTACCGTGGCCTCGAGCCGCAGAAAGCGCTAATGAGGATGGTGTGCTCGATGAGCCGGTCCATCGACCCCCGCCGTCCATGGGAGCTGACGCCGGAGCAGTCGAGATCGGTGAACTACCTTTCCCACATCCCCAAAGATCTCTTGGAGGGTTGAATATCTGAAGAAACGCCGCGACTCTGCTGCAAACTGGCTCCATGGCAGGATCGGACAGAGGTACCGGCGGAAGGCCGAGGCCGACGACCCATGGGAGAAGAGGTACAGGCGCCGGGTTAAGGAGTACGAGAGATGGGACCAAAGGCATCACAAAGCCGTTCGCCGGCTCCGTGGTGCGAAGCAGCAGCGCGCGAGGACGCTGCTCAAGCCCCGAATAGTGGTAGATTGAAGAATGGTCAACCTCCGCCTCCTTCTCACAATGTAGGTTTTGATATAAGAGATGAATAAAACATAGAAATAAATAAACACAGAATAAATAGTCATCACCTAAGCTACTTACTGTACATGTAATGGGTATATTGACCCGGAAAAGAGACAAAAGGACTTACTTTGCCCTCTTGCTGTTATCACTAACTAATCCATCCTGGGTTAGGGTGCTTATATGCTCTGCAGATACAGATTCCAACAAACAGCGCACAACTTTGTATCACCACACCAATGTAGGATGAGAATATATAATATATATATATACCTTGCTGTGTTTGTCTCGGTAGTATTTTCTCATTAACTACTATGTCTGTTGGATCATTAGTCACTTGCTTAGTCAGAAAAAGCAGTCGGAGACGCGGAGATCAATTTGTCAGTTGGCAGGCACAACGCCTGTCGTTGGCTTCTCTCCGACAAAAGTCACCATCCTTACTCGGCGTGTCTTCGTTCACTAGCAATGAAGCGCAGCCAAATCCATGGATAACTCCCACTCTATGGCCGACCAGAAATGATCCCCTTCAATTCGTGTATTTTACACCCTACATGGAAGATGTCACTCCCCATCCATTGTTTTCTTAGGAAGATTAGTAACTTTGGTACCCTCAAAGCATCTCTCATCACAAGAGAAATGCGCACCCAACTGTTTTAAAGACATTTCACACTTCATGCCCTCGACGCACGACGGACAAAAGCCCTGCAGCAGCTTCTGAGACTGCCCCTAAGTACAAATACATTGAGGATTGTGAACGGCTAGAGAGGTACTGTCCAGGCGGCTTTTACCCGTTAAAGCTTGGTGATCGACTCTGTGATGGATGTTACTCTATTGTTCAGAACCTCGGATTTGGCGGCAGCTTTACAGTATGGCTGGCTTCCGACCAGAAGCAACAGGAGTTAGTTGCTATCAAAATAGAATCTGTTGATTCTGCCTCGAAGTCTCAGGAAGTAGATTTTCTAAAACATCTTCATCCGCACCCATTGATCAGACAGCTGCTTGACAATTTCATTGAAAATTAGTCCCAATGGAGCTCACAATTGCCTGGTCATGGGAACGACGGCTGGTTGTAGCTTGACGCAATCAAAGTCCTTGGCCTTTCAACGGACTACTGGATCTTCGTCTCGCGTGAGCTATTGCTGCAGACCTGGTGTTCGCCGTCCAGTTTTTACAGGGACAAAGCATTATCCACGGTGGTGAGTAGATAATCGTTCCTAGATATACACAGTGTCTAATCAATCCCACAGATATATACATTGCGGTAATATCTTTCTTCGACTTCCCGCTGACGTTTGCCGAATGATAGACCCTTCGCAATTGTATTTGGAAATTTGGCAATCCAATTCTTGAGCCTATTGTCCGAGTTGATGGCAGACCTCTCCCGGCAGGAGTTCCTACTCACGTCGTTGGGCCTGCAAGAGTTGGAATTCGGTCTGACCAAATCACCCCTACCTATTTGCCCCATCATGCTCTCTGACTTTGGTTCGAGTTACTACCCTAATAAGACAAAACAGACTAACGCATATACACTCCCCCACATTGTTCCACCCGAAATTTTCTTTCTTGACAAACAAAATGATGAATATAACCTTTCATTCCCCAGCGAAATTTGGACCCTTGGATGTACCATATTTGAAATCATTGGTAGTGGGGCCCCTTTAGTACCTTAGGTGGAGGCATACTCCAGGACCAAGTCAGTGTTTTGGGAAAGCTCCCTGATCCATGGTGGTCACAATGGGAGTCCAGAACCAATTTTTTTAACGACGATGCAACTATTGATATCACGACTGGTGCTCCTTTCCAAGATAGCCTGGAAGAACGGTAGGATTTGGTTCGTTAACGCGGCTCGGCGGCGATCAGACATGGAAGAGCAGGGGGAGGATGAGAAGAAGGCTTTCCTACATATTCCCGATTCACTCAAGATTAAGCAAATTCCTGATCTTGGTGCTCTCCTTCAGAATCCGGCAGGCCCCTTTGGCATCGACTCCCATGTCCTCCTGAACCAAGACCTCCTGGGCATACACAACAGTCCCATACTTCGACGCCACGCTATCGATGCCGGCCAGTGAGTCGATGGCATCTTTAAAGTGACACATGACATGCACTGAGCTGAGAGGAAGGTCAGTGAAGAGGTTCCTCAATGGGTTCGTGCAGGTTGGGGTGGAGGTGGGGGGTGTTTCTTCACTCACAGGATCTCATGACCTCTAAGGCCATAGTAGCCAGTGCTGTGCAGGACACTCTGGGAGAGGATCTTTCTGCCATGCTTCTGCACTTTCTTGTGCACAACACTCTTATAGCAGGAGCAGTACCTGGAATCATTAAGGATCCGGTGCAGGTGAGGATGGAATTGAATTAGTTGTGCTACTACTCTTCAACTTCTGTGGAGAACTGACTTTCTTGAACATAAAATATGTCCAATCAATAGATACAGACCTTCAATCCAGGTACTACTCTATACTGTCAAGTCTTTGTACATATTCCAGCCAGGTGAACCCTCTTTCAGATTTTGAAGATTTGGACACTTCTTGCAACATTATAAAGTCATGCACTCATGATTGACATCTTTTGAATCATTGACAACATCATCTGCTGACAGTGCTTTGACTGTATGTGCACTGCTCATATTTGTGTTGATTGTTAAGATAACCACAGAGAGAATAAGATCCATGAAAGTATATACATTATACACAGTTCTTCATGTGGTAAAAGAAATGTCATTCATATGCTCTGCTCTCTAACTAAGTTTTATGAGAAGTTGAATCAATGAGAAACTGAATCACTCTATGCTCTTCAGTCACAGTGATACTGTTATTATTTATAGATCTCAAGATAGAAGATGTGAAAAATAAAATAAATAGATTTAAACTCATAGTTTAAGTTTCAGTTCATATATCTGCTTACTCGCTACATGAGTTGAGAATATTTCAAATCATTAGTTATTTAGTTTTTTACACAATTTTATGATCATGATATTCTTTGCTAATAGTAATACTTAATTTTTTATTGAAACTTCATAAGTAAGTATCTATATTTTAATATTCTCTCTGTGATTTTTGAGTATGATAAATACTTTTTATTATTTTTTTATAAATATTTTTTAGCTTTTTTAATTTTTTTATTACTTTATATATAGAGAAATACTTTTCTACTATCTGTTAATACTATTCAATTGCTTGTTTTTTTTTTAAAAAAAATATCATTTATGATATCTCTAAGTAGAGTAAGATTATATTTATAATATATAAAAAATAAAAATATTTTTAAAATAATATTCTTTATGTTATTATATATAAATTCAATAATAAATAATAATAATAATTAGTTATTTAATAATAAAAATAAAATAATTACTTATAAGTAATTTTTTAAAATTTAATTTTATATTTTTAACTTTATTTTATCTATAAAATTTTTTAAAAATTTTAATAATAATTTATATATTAATATTTATTAAATTTAAGTAGTTTAATTAATAATAAAATTTTATTTTTATAATTATAAAACTTTAAAAATAAAATTTTTATTTAAATTTTTATTTTAAAAAGTTTTTTTTAAATTAGTGATAAAATATTATTTTATCAAAAAATTTACTCTATTAAAAAAATTATTATCTTTTAGTTTTATAAAAATATATAAAAGTAAAATATAAAATTCAATATTTATTTTAAAATTTATTATATATTAACTATAATTAGTTAGTAATTTTTATCATTATATAAATTTAAATATATTTAAATTATTATTTTTTTAATTTTTAACTAATTAATTAATTAATTAATATATTAATAAATAAATAAAATTCTTTAAATAAGTATTATTATTATTATTATTTTTATTATTTTTAAAATATATATCTATAAGTATTATTATAATATTATTTATTTATTATTTTCTATAAAATAAAGATTTTTTTAAATACTTTTTCTATCTTATCTTTTTTTACTAAAAGATATAAATAATTAAATTAATAAATTATAATTTTAATAAATTTTTAAAAAAGTAATTTAATAAATAAAATTAAGTCTTTAATTAATAATTATTAATTAATAACCTTTTCAATATTTTTTAAATTTTAAATTAAAGTTAAAAAAAGTTAATATTTTATAAAGTAAATTTAATTATAAATATAAATATTTAAAATAATCTTTAATTTAATTTAAAATAAAATTTTTAGAAATATTTAAATAATTATAAAAATATCTTTAAAAAATAAATAATATATAAATTTTAAATTTTTTAAATATTAAATTAAGTTGAATTAAGATAAAACTTTTATTTAAAAAGTTAATAAAAAATAAAATAGATAAGTAAATTATTATTTTAATATTATCATAAAAATTTTATTTTTAACTTTTTTTCTTTATTATAAATATAAAAATAAAAAAATTATAATAGAATTAAAATAATAATTTTCTTATTATAAAATATTTTTAATAAATTGAAAATAAATTATTAATTTATTTTATAAATATATTAAAATATTATTTTACTTTTATTTTAATTATCAATATTAAATAAAATTTTAATTTTAAAATATTAAAACTTTTTATATATAATAAATATTATATTAATTTTTATTATATATTATATATTATATATTATTATTATTATTATTATTATTATTATTATTATTATTATTATTATTATTATTATTATTTTATTTTATTTTATTTTTTAATTTTAAATTAATAATTAAAGTTTTTATAATTAATATTAATTATTTAAAAAAAGTTAAATATATTTATATAAAAAAATAATTTTTAATAATTTATAATTATTTAAATAATAATATTAAATGATATTTAAATATATTTTAATAAAAATATAAGAAATAAAAATTTTATATATATATAAATAGAAAGTTATTAACTATTATTTATTATAATTTAAATAATTAAATTATTATTTTAAATTAACTTAAAGCTTTATATATACTGATTAATATTTTTTTATCTTTATAATTTTTATAATATCAAATCTTAACTATTAAATCAATTTCAAGGACTAAATATATTACTGGTAAAGTTATAAGTAAATTAGTATGATTAAATGCCATGCTATATTAAACATATCTATTGAAGGGAAAGGTAAGACCTGCATGAAACTGCAAATAAATAATATGAGTATTATTGATCTCACAAAGGAGGAATCCTTAACCAAACACTTACATTATATGAAATCCGCTACCACATTCTTCATCAACTGGTTGAGAAGGGTAAGATAGCGCTACTGCACATAGACTCTATATGGTGAATAAGGCAGATGGTTCTACGAAGCCTCTGGCGAAGCCTGCATTCACTGATTTCATTGAGAAGATTGAATTAGTGGAGGTAACTTGATTAGCAGGGGATGTAACAGGAATACAGGAATAGACAGATATTTCCTTGTTTTGCTTTGAATTTTACAGTTATTTTTTGTACAGATGCCTTCCCTATCCGGGAAATCAGCTTCTGATTGTTGTAGTTAATTTCTATTGAGGATTCGAAGGATTTGAGCGTGATGGCAGAGCTTAAGTTAGTGAGCGCCGCAGCATTGACTAGTCAGAGGCTACGCTAATCACGTGCTGCCCAATACGTTGCTCAGGTTTCGGCTCTCGCTAGTTCATCACACACAAACAACGTTATCCACCAAGACAGTTAAGTTGAGCTGACTTCAACCCATGGATTGATGTAATACGCTGATGAGCCATGAGATATGGAGATATCTCTATATCTCTCACACCAGCATGCATATTCCAGCAATTCTGGAATCCCTCTTATATACCACATCTGAAAAGACCTACGTATCAACGGCATATGCTGGATTTTAGTCGCGAGAGACCTTTAGCCTCGACCAGTTGGCTATAAGCAGTCGAATGCGATGTCACCATGCTACTGATTCCATTGTGGCCAAAGGCCTCAGCTGCCTCTGAATTTGAAATGAAAAAAAAATCTATACTGGAGGATATCACTGAGCCACCGTGGATTGATTGAGAGGGGATTTTAGTTTCCACTGCCTTTTGAGAGAAGAACAAATGGTCGACATATCGATTATCTATTTTGCCCCTGGAGCAAGATCTAGCCCCCCGCTACAGATTGTTTTTGAAAGCAGATATCTATATATTGCAAAACAAATTCCGAATAAGTCCCTAACAAACTCAATCATGGAGAGAGAAGTTGATCCGATCAACTACACGAATGCGAAATACACTGGACTCACACATCTCTTCCACCTATTGTTCTTATGCTAGATGTGTCAATATTGGGACCGTCGTTCCCCGAAAGAATATATTCTGATCACCCGTCATCTCGATTTGGTGGCCCATAACCCCAGTTTAGAGTAATTAGCAACTCGTCCTCTCCTGATTCGTTGTTTAATCAAAACCGAATTAATAACCCCAGATGCCATACAATGTCGTGCAGGTTAACAGGTTGACCCATGTGAGGATATTGCTATTTTGGGAATTTTCAACGAAGATCCAAATTAGTTTCAAAACCCACGACGATGACAGCCAGTTACCACTAGACATACAACACCCCGATGTTCACGGGACTTGACGGAGCTATTAACCCGGGACAGAGTCTGCCCGGATATTGACCCTCGGATGTCAAGTCGGCCAAGTATATAAGCTCAGCAGCATGAAACATTAAGCCGATCGACCAGCCTCGGATTTCGCCGGATTTACTTTCAACATGTCGACAGGGAACATCCTGTGAATTGGAAAGGGGTTTATTCTGTGGTCGGGGTAGCTGTTGTTATATCCATGCTTGCTCACAACACACCAAAGCCGATAAAACGAACTGTTTCTCTGAAACCTTTTTGCACCACATGGATCTTACGTTATCTAGGGCGGGGGTTTGTCCGTTGCAGGTGCCCTAGTGTGTTGGTTCCATGGCAGTCACTGATTGCTACGCAAAGATATCGTTAGCTGGACACGACACACATTATCCTGGATAAAACGGGTATCGATGGAGCATTTTAGGATGAAGAGTAATGGGTGGATGGAAAGAGAATAAGAATTAACAAACGAAAACAGGGAGGAAGCTAATGGTAAGCGAAGCAACCCATCGCACCAATGCTCAGCCTGACGGTTTTCTATTTTCCAAGTAGATCCGAAGACGCTAATTATGTCTAGCTAACGATCCAGTTGCTCTCTCTCTCTCTCTCCCTCCGGCAAGAAGGGTTAGATCCACTGGAAAATGAAGTGACTGGCAGAAGGAAAGGCATCCAAATAATTGTCCAGGATTCGATGAGAGAAAGATGGGTTATTCACGATATCGGTCCTATGTCTAGCCGGTATTCATGCGTGCAATGTTTGTGTAATAAATGCGGCTTACCGTTATTGTTTATTTAACCCTGCCCCTTAGCAGTTACCCGCTGACTGGAACAGGTTCCCTGGTAGCTGGGAAGGGGGGAAATTTATGCGGAGGCTCGCCGAGACCTCTTCTTCCCATTCCGGCCCGCCCCGCGCCGCGATTGAGGAAGCATAGAATTGGGTATATATCTATAATGAAACCGAACCCACCACTCGCCAGAACTTTATCGCAAGACTATATAATTGCTGGCCCTGATCCCGAAAGGAATCCCGATGCGTTGAGCACCTTGCTCTTCTTTCTGCACGTGAATATCGTCATAAAAACTCGGATTGCCAAGGTGACGCCAAGTATTAGATTGAACACGGGACGACGTTATTCTCTGCACACACGAAACGAAAGAGAGCAGGGAATAGATAGGTAGCTTGGTTCTGCCTTATTTCCAATAGCTAGATTCTCCTCTCCAGTCTCCCGAAACCTCACAGTGCCCGGTGGAGAAGGAAACGTTGCTCAACGCGGGATAGCTAGGGCGATAGCTGATTGCCGAGCCACCACGGCTCTAAACCCGGAGTCCATAGTTCATAGTAATAATGTCCATGACCAAGTGCCAAAGGGGTAGCCAGGCTTGAATTTGTGCCCCATTACATCGTTGTTTTCCAGGCTTTTTGAAGTGTCCCACCCTTCCCATGCTTTTTTATTAAGGTTAATATATCGGTTCTGTCAGCCAGATGGACTTGTATATGTCCATATATGCATTACGCATCTAGAGCCTTCTGAGCGGGTCACCTTTTTCATGCGGTCCTGGATCTTTTCAAATCTGACTTTCTATTTGCTTCATACATGTACACACACAGATTTTAGCATCCTGTGAAGGTTTTAATGCAAGGTAACCACTTGACAGGAAGCATTCCCACATCGCACCCCCGCACCAGAAACTTCATCAGCCTGCCAGGACGGCTTTCAGGGGCTAAGACTCCGTTTCAGGTAAGTGTCTCTGGCCTGTCTGAAGGAGGGTGCCATGTCCATAGCGTCCATAGCTACGGAAGCTAACGTCTTGATCTGCCGTTTTGATAAGCCCTAGAGGCTGATTGGAAGCATCATGGTCTTGGTGTATCGGGGCAGATACGGAGGATACGTTTGAATGAATTGCACGCCAAACAGCAGCAAAAGTAGAGTGGACATGAGACACATATTGCCAACACACCACCCACACATATACAGAACAATGGACCGAATCTCTTTTAAAATCTATAATGCGATCTGTTGCCAGATACCAAAAAGAAAGATAGAAAGATTTAAGATGTTTGACATTGTTGATCCTCTTTTGCTCTCCTACCAAGGTAGCCAGTAAACCATTCATTCAGCGGTAAGCCAACAACTACAGTTTAGCAACACCATCCCCCCCCCCCCCCCCCCCCCCCCCCCCCCAGCGGAAGCGAAGGATCCCAGGCGATCTAGGAAAGCAGACGCACTCGCAACTGATATGCAATTCGTAAGTGCTAGTAGTCCTGTAGCTCGAGGCCCCGAGTGGATTGAAAGCAGCAGAAATTGCTCTCTCCATATCGTACCTAGGACAAAGCGACTGCTGTGGACCTGTGGTCGCAGACACACGCTCTCGCTGCTCAAACCAAAAAGCACAAAGGCCGACCCGCTCTGCCAAGCAAAGTACACACATACCTAGACTAGGTAACTAGGTAAATTATATACTAACAAGATGTCCCCCTTGCTTCGTCCCACAATCTCCAAACAGTCCAACATCTCCCACAGACTCCAGAGGCTTTTCGCAGCCTTGAAAAAAAGAAAGAAACATTAGTTAGGGCTTGGTATCTGCAGGGATACCCTTGGAACCGCGATGCAGCGGCGGCGCACTCGCAGAACTTGGCAGAGGTCGAAATTTCACGGGCCTGACGCATAGAGAATGAATTAATTGTTCGAAAAGTTTTCTAGCGTAGACACGATGTGGAGATTCATGGGAAGAATGTGGCGCTTGGAACCTGGGTATTTGAATCACTAAAACTAGTTACGGAGTAAGTTCAAGTTCCAGAAAGAGTCATGACAAATCCGGTCGAAAGCAAGTGAGATTCGTCAGGACCAATCAGGACTAGTTGTTTTGGAGATGGTTTGGTTTGTCGATTTGATGCTACATAATTATTCGTTGGTAATTTATTTTATTTTTATTTTTATTTTATTTTTTGTATTGTATTGGGCCAAAAAGTAAACCATGAATGGAGATCTCGGGAATCGGAAGGGGATTCGAGATTGTGGGCTGTTGGGTGCCTTTGCAATGTATAATAACTAACTATATTTTTAACAACCTTTTCTTCTATTACAGTCGATTGGCAGCTGGTTAACTGGTTTACCCATCGGTATGGGGTTATTTGTTGTGATTCGGTATTTTAGGCATCTGATAAATTTGCAGAAGAGAGAAAGATATCTCCGGATCCGGGCGGTGTCTTGCATCCAAGGACCGGTTTGATGATTATGGGGTCAACCAAAAGGACCCGAACATTTACATTTTACATTACAGAGGCATATATCATCATCCCTCCCACCTGAAGAATACAATAGAATAGAATCCGAAAAAAAAAAAAAAAAAAAAAAAGAATGAACAATAAAAAGAAACAGTCGTTTCACTTTGGATCCAGAAAGTCACGGACACATACACATAACCCTCTCTCTATATCCTTCCCCTTGAAGGAAAAACCAAACTAGCCGATCGATCCATGAACGCCTCAGATGCCTGTTCAATGCGAAAATGTGGATTCTCAATAGCTACCGAACGGCCCTGTGCATATATATACATAGTATACCCGGTCTAGAACCTCCATCTTCTCCGCACATGTATATGTGAAACCTAAAACCCGCAATCTGATACTGAGGCTTTTGCACGGGTCGATCATCCAGTTTGATATAGCCAGGATAAAGAAAGAAAAAAACAAAGAAAAGGAAAGCAAAAATAAAAATTAAAAATTAAAAATTAAAAATAAAAATAAAATAAAAAAAGAAAATACAATAAGATTTTTTTTTTTTTTTTTTTTTTTAAAAAAAAAAAACGGTAGTGGTATAAAGAATGAAAGAGTTTCAGGCAGGATTTAAGTTAGATGGGAAGATGATGCCCTGTTTTGCGATTTGTACCCTCCAACCTCGCACCCCCCGCGGCCCCCACCACCCTCTGTTTGGCTTTTTGTTGGTGGAGTTGGGATATCGTTGCTACATGCGACGACTATCAATCAGGAATCAGGAAATGCCTGGTGGAGACTGTTATTAAGTGGAACCGGTATTTTTTTTCAATCAATTTCCAAACTCCCAACTACTTGCACAATACGAGCATGTGCGTTCACCTGAAGGGAACAAGCCACTGAAATCATAGAGTTGCAGGTTTTTGCCGTTTTCAGGAAGAATATGTATATTTATATCTATCTAT